CCATTCAACGGATGTTAGCAGTTACTCTTGCATTTTACATCACATAGTTTAAGTTTTTTTAAGCTAAGGCTGTCATTATTTTTTTCTTTTTCACTTAAGTTTTTAGCTAAGGTCATGTGACACATCTCTTTTTACATCATTCCAACTGCCAAATCTAGTGAAGTATCCTTAATCTTGCTTAATCCACATGCCTGATCCAGAAATGGCATAATTCAGTTGTATTATCTGTATGTCAAAATTAGTCTAAAAACTACAGCTTTGCTCTGCACATTGTGACTGCAGTTTTCTGTTGTGTGGGTGCTCTTGCCATCACGGGGTCACTACATCATATTGACAAGGACCTTCTTGGATGGTGGCTATGTGAGCGGCAAGATAACAAAACTGGAGGTCTTAATGGTCGACCAGAGAAACTTCCTGATGTAGGGTTTTTTTTTCTTTGAAATTGAAACTGAATTTGTTTCTGTTAACATTCTTGGACTCTTCCTTATGGCTTTATTTATTCATTTCAGGTCTGCTACTCGTGGTGGGCTCTTTCTAGTTTGATCATGATTGACAGAGTTCATTGGATCAATAAAGACAAGCTTATCAAGTTCATTTTAGACTGCCAGGTTACATTTACCTAATGAGCTATTTGTACATTTGGATTATCCTTTAGGAGTGGACATTCTCCCTGTTTTCGTATTTCCTGAGTGAAATTCCAATCATGTAACTATGGATTTATCTGAGATGCTTTGGCTAATTATTGAAAATTGCAGGATATTGAAAATGGAGGAATTTCTGACAGACCAGATGATGCTGTTGATGTTCACCACACTTACTTTGGTGTAGCTGGTATAATTGCTTTGCCTCTGCTTTGTTTGTTTTCCAAATTTCTTCACATAATAACTTGGCATGTTGAAACCTTTTCTTCACAAGGGTAGCTAGTACCTGCTTTTGACCCGCATATAGTGCGAAAATGTTTATATAAGATGATTTGTGTTCTTCGTGTAATTTTCTCTCTACAGTACTCATCACATTACATCTAAAGTTGATGTTTATTGATGCAGGACTCTCCCTTCTCGAATATCCAGGGTTGAAAGCCATAGATCCAGCGTACGCTTTGCCAGTTGATGTTGTAAATAGGATTATTTTAGACAGATAAAGGCCTTGTTTGCAACACTCTGATTTGCTTGAGCTTGCTGCAATTTGACACTTTTGTGGTTCTCTAATAGGTCACAACTCTCAACACCTTACTGCTATGTAGAATATACGTCTTTCACTTTGGATGATCCCTTTGACATTCCAGTGGTAGTTGGATGAAATGAGTAATAATTAAGTTCACAGCTGTAGCCTGTAGCAGGCCCCACCCCACTCCATGAATGATGGATCTCATTTATGAAGTGTGTTTCGGAGTATGGGAATTGAACTCTGTCTGGACTTAGAAAATTGTGGTCCCTGTTCTTCAACATTCGATGTCATTTCTATTCCAACTTCCAAGTCCAAGTTATCATCTCATTTCCTTTTCTATTTGGTTTCTTTGTAGAAAATAGGTAGATTTGATGACTGAACTTTGATACATATCATAATACATTTTCGTCTAATCTAATTGAAACTTGGTAACATTGGCATACATACAAATATGCCATCAAATCAATCAAGGGAAGAAGCCCTACTATCTTTATTAGCATATGTCAGATTGTTCGTCACCTCCGATATTCGGATATTTGATTTGGAACGGCTAATGAAACCCACATTTGATCAATGGTTGGAAATCATCTACGCACATTTGATCTATGGTCATACCTTATCTAGTCACCGAGAAATTCACCACAAAATGACCCGAATCACATAAAACAGGTATCACATCGCATCTCAGTCACGAAATGGTAAATGACAAGAGCCAAAATGTCTTTAATTGCATCCAGGTTGTGTTGCCACTAGCAAATTTGCAAACAATATGATTGTATGAGAGAGAGAGAGAGAGAGAGAGAGAGAGAGAGAGAGATAATGTTTGTTTGCATGTGACCTTGTGTGACAAGATTCAAGATTTGAGCATCAAATTCTTCAACGTGCATTACAATTTACACATATTACACACATATATATATATATATATATATTATAAAGTGTACTATCACGTGTGAGTTTGAGGGATCGATTTGGCTCTTCCTTTTGGCTCTCTTCATTTCATTGGAGATTTCCAATGAAAACAGCCGTCACCTCCACCCAATCCCATCCCTGCCGACCTCTGTATTTCAAACACAATTCACGTGCCCAGTTTGCCTCCTCCCCCATTCCTGTGGAAGCTAGACTAAGAGAAGCCTCATATTCTACCCAATCAACGAGACACACGTCACCATTCCTCAAACATTAGCCTTACGTGTACGGATGTGATTGGGCAGAACTTTAGGCCAAGTGGGGGTTGGATTGGGATTTAACATAATAAAATAGGCCAAGTAGGGGTTGGATTGGGATTGAATACAATAAAATAGGGTATTTGTTGGAAGAATAAAAAAAAGAGTGAGAGTTTTGAGAGAGAGTGTGTGGCATTAAAAGGCGTCATGATCGAAAAGACATGTTCATGCCAACATGCGTGCACTCTACCTCCCTCTGTTCTTGCTTAATCTGACACGTGATTTTAAATATTTCACTGTTTCATTTTATTTTATTTTATTCATTTTCTATGTTAAGAAATTTGAATTCCCAGCAGGAGTGAATCATGAATTCCCATTTAAATTGAGTGCAACCAAAATTAGAGTTTGATGTGAATCAATGTGGAGCTTTGGTGAGGTTGCAAGTGAAATTGTACACGTACAACTGTTTTCCCAATAATGGTCATGTTGCCTCATAAGCCTATAGATATGATGGATTCTATAGGCCTGGAAGCCCTCTGTTTGCAAGAAACCATCAATGCAATTACACTTGCTCACCTACTATATTTTTGCATAATTCATTTACTCAAAAATAAAGAAGAATACATTGCCATCGCTTATTATCGATTTTTTAGAATTTATGAGAAATTTATAGAGTATATCGAAAATTCGACTGCCTATAGCTGAAGCAGCTACTTTCAAAGTAACAAAAGAGAGAAAAGCAACAACTGGAATGGGAAAGTAAGAGTCGGAAAGTGGATTACTCACTTTCTTCTCTCATTCAAAACCGTGCATAAGCTTTCATCTCGCACGAATCCTAAGTGATAAAAGAAACAAGAGCTAATCTTTTTTTTTATTTATAATTATTACCTTCCTCGCATATGTATAAGACTGAATCCATTCAATTACTAATCGTTAACTTTTTGAGGAATCCATAAGTAATTCTTATCACATATATAACATCTTCGTCACTCATGTAAATCGAACCTAACACCTTCTTTAACCATGTCAAGACAAATCTCACTACACCAAAGGCAATAATTTCTTAAAGAAATCATGATATTTTTCAACTCATTATTATTGCCAAAAAAGGACAAAATTCTTAACCATTTTCTTTTATTTTTTGGTTGGTGAATTCTTTGCTCCCGGTCCCATCCAATTGAACGCTGCGGGCCAGCGGCCCTGCCAAGTAATTCAACGGCCGTGTACTACAATGTCTAGAAAATATCTCATGCCATGTGGATCTATGCCATTGGATGATCATAAGCTTTTTCTTTTTCTTTTTTTTTTAATTATCAGAAGCTTTTCCAAAGGCTGTGGACCAATATCCTAAAGCATAATTGCAATAATTTGTTTTTATATAATATATTATATGATGAACAAATACACTGTTACATTGTAAAAGGTTGATTTTATTTTGTATACCAGATACAGTAATAAATAAACCGAAAAAAAAACAAAATACTAAATTTAATTTAATATATACATCAATGGTGGACAGCTTCTCTTGCCTCAACCAATCCATAACAGGGATTAAAAAAAACAAAATTATATTCCACATCAATGTATTTAAATGAGTCAACTACTACCTTTTTAATCAAATCCGACATTTCTCTTCCATGATGTCGAATATAAATGCCGCCAATGTTTCAAGGTAGGGAATGCAAAGGCAGCCAATTTAAGGACAATCCAATTGCATTTTGGTTTACAAATCCTATAATTAACCATTTTTATTGGAGTATCAGCTCCTAAAGTTGCTTAGTACTTAAAACCATAACGCGATATGTTTGTATTGGTATGATTTGAATACTCCATTCGGATGGAAGAATTTCAAATCGATGGATTTAGATGACAGGTAAACTTGTTCGTTTAGATTAGTACAATTCATGTATGTCAAGCTCTGCACAATAAAAAAGTAGAAAATAAATGAATTTCAACTTATTCCTTACTAGTTATTTCAACTACCTCTAGTCTAATGCGGGTCTTATATTTGTAGCAAATTTAGACTTATTCTCAAATACGAATCATTTCTTTTAAATCCCTCCACTTAAACGGGGCTTAACTTTATATTGAATTCGAATCATGTCATATCTTGCATCAAATTATCACCCATGATCTCATTTTTTAATATCCGTACACAATAATGTTCTGACTAAAATAAAAAATAATAATTATAAAAATTCTCCCAAAATATGGCCCTCATCCCAAGAACCCAGAAAACAAAGGTTTTTATTGCCATTATAGCAATGCATAGTGCGATTGCACTGAGCTGGCACTGTCATTACTCAAAGCAAAACAAAAAACAAAGATAAAGTGAAGGAAAAAAAAAAAAAACCTGCTCCATTCCCCTGCTTTTCCTCCAATACCACCAAGAGATGCTTCATTGACAGCTGGCCTCGTCAGTGAACCAGCTGGACTTTCCTACGTGTCGTGGCCTCATTGGCGGTGGATCTGTACCCCGCTTTAGGGCATGGACATGTCGTACCGAAGGGTAGTAGTGCCCCTCCACAGCCTCACAGCTTTGGCCAGCTAATCAGTGGGAGGGCCTCACAGAGAGCAGAGTAACGGCTACATTTTTAATCTCTGGGGTTGTATTTATCGAAATTTGAAATCATACGTGGCTGGTGATATGGTGACTGGAATTGAGTGACGTGGACAGTGAAATTGGTGAAGGGGCTTGTGAGAGAAGCCAATTCAAACAGGCTATAAAAGGCAGTGTTTTTCGTGTTTCTCTCCAGACTCGGGACTGAGCATTTCAGAGTTGAAGAAGAAAGCTTCATTCTCTCTCTCTCTCTCTCTCTCTAATATCTTCTTTTTCCATGGCAATTCCAGCTTTTAAAATTATGTCTCTGTTTCTGAGTGTGTTTGTGGGTTTTGCATCGGTGGGTCTGGTTAGCTCAGCTAAGTTTGATGAGCTTTTCCAGCCAACCTGGGCTTTCGATCATTTCACCCATGAAGGAGAGCTTCTTCACATGAAACTTGACAACTTTTCTGGTACATATACCATTTTCTTTAGAAAATCAATCGCTACCTCTAACGGTTTCTTTAGAGTTTTTGAAGCAGAGCATCAAGCTCTGTTTTTTACCCAAAAAAAGCTCTGTTATTTTGGTTCATTATGCAAAACAAAAATTGTTGTTTTCTTGAATAATGCTTGCTCTTCCTGTTGCTTGGACTAATGTGATGGTGGGTTTGAAATTTCAGGAGCTGGGTTTCAATCCAAGAACAAGTATTTGTTTGGCAAAGTGAGCCTTCAGATTAAGCTTGTAGAGGGTGACTCTGCTGGAACAGTTACTGCTTTCTATGTGAGTAAACACTACTACCAGTGTGTTTTTCAGAACAAAAAGCAAATCTTTTTTGCTTTATTCCATTAATTTCTGATATTCTGCTTTGAAAAATATTAATTTTTGTAAGTTGAAAACAGCTCAGCTTGTTGTGGTGCCAATTGGGTCCCCTATTTATTTAGACTTGGCTTTATTTGACCCATCATTGTGCTACTACTGATACCACCAGTAGCTCTTACCTACTCTCTTTACTCTCGTGAAGTTTCTATTTTTGTTAATCCTGATTTGATTACTAATTTGTTCTAATCTTATTACTAATTGTTTTCTCATTGCTTAATCCATTTGATAATCAAATCCATAATAGAAAATCTTGTGACTTTGAATTGGCTTTTATGGAACCAACTAACATGTATCAGACTCTGACACTGAAATTCAATTGTCCTTTACTCATTAATTCATATGCACTGACAGATATTAATATCATATCATACGTGTGATCTGAGTTTTATCTAATTCTTCAATCTGTTTTCCTTTTCTTCATTTGTTTGTGTAGATGTCATCGGACGGCCCATCTCACAATGAGTTTGACTTTGAGTTCCTGGGCAACACCACCGGCGAACCTTACTCAGTGCAGACCAACATCTATGTGAATGGTGTCGGCAACAGGGAGCAAAGATTGAACCTTTGGTTCGACCCCACCACGGAGTTTCACTCCTACTCAATCTTCTGGAACCAGCGCCAAGTAGTGTAAGCACTTAACCTTCTCTCGTCTCATTTTCTGTGTATATATGCATACATGGTGACTTTGAGCTCGTCTCGTTAATTAGACAAGTTTAAGATATCACTTGTATAATAAATAAAGATTTATGTGTACATGTGTGATAAGTGGTCATTAGTAATTATGATTTCAATGGAGCAGAGGCACCCCGCAGTTCATATTCCAAAAGCCAGCTGCCAGTGTCATGAAGGCAGCGTGTGGCGCTTGTCCGCCCCCACTCTCTGTCTAAGTATAAAGTTGAGAAAGAAAAACAAAAAAACCCCATGGAAAAGGGAACGAATCTTGCATGATGTCTGTAGGGTCGTATTACGTGTAAAATTTACAGAAACACTGTGGGGGCAGATGCCCGTCTGCTCTGTTTTGAGCCACTGTGCAAGCAATGGCTTTGGCATTTTGCTATTTGCCGTACTGCATCATGTCTCATGTGTGAGGTAGTATTGTAAGAGTTTGACAGAGACCCCATTGGGTGAAAAAAAATAATTATCTGATATTCTTCTCAAAGTTCTCATCTTGATGTTGGTAAAAGTTACAAATTATATCTTAATAAAAAATAGGCCTATAAGTTTTTACTTAAGGAGCTCGTGGGTTTAGAATATTTATCCCTGCATCCGAAGTTTTACGTTCGATTTCCCCTTCACTTACATATTCTTGTTCAATTATTGGTTTTGTTCAGGTTCCTAGTGGATGAGACACCAATTAGAGTCCACACCAACATGGAAAACAAAGGGGTGCCCTTCCCCAAGGATCAAGCCATGGGGGTGTACAGTTCAATATGGAATGCAGATGACTGGGCCACACAAGGTGGTAGGGTCAAGACAGATTGGTCCCATGCACCCTTCATTGCAAGCTACAAGGGCTTTGAAATCAATGCCTGTGAGTGCCCAGTTTCTCTTGCAGCAGCAGATAGCGCAAAGAAGTGCAGCAGCAGTGGAGATCAGAAGTATTGGTGGGATGAGCCTACATTGTCAACTCTCAATCTGCACCAGAACCACCAGCTCGTGTGGGTTAAGGCTCACCACATGTTCTATGACTACTGCACTGATTCTGCTAGGTTTCCAGTGACACCTCTTGAGTGTGTTCATCACCGCCACTAGGGTTCATGGCCTTGGAAGATTGAAGGAGGAGAAAAAAACAACACTTTGTATAAAAAGAAAGGGCAGAAAAAGGAGGGGGGTGAAAAAGCTATAAACATGTGCTCCATGTTTTTTTTTTTCTTTTGTTCGTTTCTTTTGTTCTCTTTGGTCTTCAGGTTGTATGATAGGCGTGGTAATTTCAATGTGAAATATGAATTTTCTCTTTTCCTTAAATTTTTACTTGTGTGATACTGAGACTTACTGCTCACTACCAAACATCGTACAAATTTTCTAGCTTGCATGCGCATGCGTTCACCGTTGCCTGGTATAATTTTTAGGTCACGGGGAGACAATCATGGTTGATAGCAGAGTAGGTAGGGAAAGGGATAAAGTTATGCAACAGGGAAGGAAAATGCATGAAAGAAACAAATAGTGGGCCCCTAAATTCGGGATGTCATTTTTCAAAGTGGGCCAGCCTCTTCAGTCCTCAAGGCAAGTGGTGAAAGGCAATGAAAGGGAAACAAGGGTAAGGCTTGGCTTTTATTTAACAAGCCGAGTGGTTTAGTGTTTCATATCAATGAATAAGTTCATATTTGGGAAATGGAAATCGAACTTAGAATCTCGGATATATGAATCATTAAAGCGATAAATTCATTTTGCATGAAATCACACTTATTATTATGGGCCAAAACATTGGAGGTCATGATTAAAGAGAAGTTAATAAAGAACCGAAAGTCATTGGCCATGTGAATATGTGATGGCATTATTTGGTTTGGTTTCATCTCCCTCGTTAAAGGGGAATGTGGGAACAATGTCATTGTTTGTGCCTTGGTTTTTTCAAAGTGATATGACAATGCTTGACATGCATTTTAGACAGTTTGCGTGGGGAAGAAATCAAATTAAGCAAGCAAGGTCACAAGAATACAGTTTGAAAGCTTCTCTTTAACTTTTCTCGTGAATTCAACCTTTCTTCTTTCAAGGGTTGAAGATTGTTGTTTCCTAATCTCTTCCTATACTGCTGGGCCAGAGCTTTCTTATTACCTCTGCCACAGACATGTGAAACTTGTGGAGAAATTAAAACCCAGCATTATTAGACTAGCTTGCATGATTGAGTTAAGTAGCACCTTGTTTAGATGGGGGACCAATAATTTAATTTTGAGGATCATAGAGGTTCCTTTCTCTACAGGCCAACCTAGCTACTGTAACTTGGGATAACTTTGCTGGTTTTTGGTGGATTCATGACATAATCCAAAGCTCCTAGGTCCCATACAAATGATAGGACATGAAAGGGGGTTGTAAGAAGGTGACGGTTTTCCACTCAGATGAATTAATCTGGTCCAGAGTAAATAATGGAAAAACACAAAAGCTGAAAGGAGCCATTTCACAAGAATCAAATCAAATGAGAAATGACTTACTTGCCGAGGAGAAACACTTGTATGGAACGGAGATAGAATTGTTTTTTTTTATCTTTAACCAATCATAATTTTTTTACTTGATCGGAGATAACAAAACAATTCTATTTCCCGTTGCACATAAATTTTTCTGTTTGAGGAGCGTCCTCTGATGTAGATGGGTTAAATACAACAGTAACTCTGCTTTCTGTTGTGTTTTCTTTTTGGTTAAATACAAAACTTGACTGATTTAACATGTATTCTTTTTCTTTTCTATTGCTATGATGAGATGGAGCTACCACTCATTTAAGAGATACAAGATGAGGTGGTAGATCAGGAAATAATGAAGGCAATAATAAATTCTCAGAGTAAAACACATCAGGCCCCATTAACACCCACCAATCCTTTTTATGGGTGGAAAAGCTTTGAATTTGATCATTGAGGACAAAAAACAAGTGAAGCATCAAGATCTAGAGAAGACAATGATGGTGGTTGATAGGCATCAAATTTGAGTTCATCATGAACTGAAAGGGCTCAAGGCACTGATGAAAGTGGGAGACAGAGCTAAATGTAAAATAAGCTTAAAGTGGTTTTGTCAACTTGTTGAACAGAAAATGAACATTATATACATATATATATAGCAGCATACATTATAAGATGCTTTAAGAGAATATTCTATATATAATTAGAGGCTAACAAGAACAGACAAAGGAGCTCATATTAATCCCAACAAGTAGAAATCAACCATGTTTAGCTTTGGCATGGAAGAGCTGCTATTGATCATTAATGGAACCACACACAAAAATGTTGATCACATGTCATGGCAGAGAATCCAAAGGAACAAGAAACCAAGATTCTAGCAATGATATTAGAGAAACACTTTCATAATCAATAATAGCAATGAATTTTGAGACACTGAATTCTATTTTATTAAAGTTATTTGGAATAATTCAAAAATATATACAAAAAAGGGGACATAGGCTTAGCCAAGTTGACTAGAGCTAATGTGCTCCTCACTCTGCACTTGAGATCGAATCCCCCTCCCCGTAATTTAGATTAAATTAAAGTAGATCATCATTTGAAAAAAAAAAACAGATATATATTTAAGTTACAAAATAAGTACGTATAGAGCTAAAACCCTAGACAATAAAAATAGGAAACCAATATAATTGATCCAAGTATATCAAAGACAAACCAGATCATGTGACATTTGGGTTTTCTAGCCCAAGGATTATTAGGCTTATGGGTTCTCTTTCATCTTGTAGCTTACAATTTGGGCCGGGACTTGGGTTCAAAATTCAAAATTTAAATTATGAAAAAGCTGAAGATGAAGAGCGAGCTGAAGATTACAATTCATTTGGGGGCAAATTGGGGCGGTTAGGGCTTTTCTTTTTTCTTCACATTTTCTGCTTTGGTCAGTTGTCACTGTCGACGCCTAGCCCTCTCTTCAGCCCCCTAATTCTCTTTCCATGAAGCTTTGACCATTTTTCTCTTCTGAGCTCAGACCCCTTGAGACACGAGGGTAGGGGGTCCCGGAGCAAAAGAAGGTAACTTTTTCGCTTCTCCAATTCTTGCTTGTTACTTTTGTTTTCAAATCTGATGAGATCTATGCTTGTTATTCTCACTGAGTACGTAAATCCAGTCCAGTTTTGAATTTATTTCAAATATAATTTTTGTTTCACAATTTTGCTATTTTGTGTATAGCGGCAAGCTTGCGGCTCTAGCAAGACTGTCAATTGAGTTAGTTTTTGTTTATTTGTTTGTTGGAAGAGTATAGTCAGTAACAAATGGAAATTCTTAGCTGAATGAATGTTTAGTTTAAATGGTTTGTGCGGGAAAGTGAAAGAGAAATTGATGTCGGTGTTGGAATTGTTTGCCTGAAAAAGTCAAACTAAGTGATCTTTTTGCATCTTCTTATTTTGTGTTCCATGTATCCAAACGCAATATGCCACAATCATGTTTTTGAATTTTGAGTAGATGGAGGACATTTTCCTTATTAAGAAGAGTCCATTGTTTTGTACAAATGATAGAAATATTGGGAGCTTCGAGAGGCCTAACAGTCTTCCTAGCATTGTAGGATCTCTTCTGAATATAATTTATGGTTTCTTTCTTTGTGTCTACTCTCTGCTGTTTTAATCCTGGGAAGACTTAGGTTTAGTGCCTGTATACTGAATGAGTAATCGAAGGATATGTGGTTGCATTGTATGTTGACGGTTTTGTGTGCCCGTATGTTGGTTTCATTATGGGCATTGCGCTAGGTGGTGTTTTGAGGTGATGCCTTTTATTTCGTTTTTGTCTAAGGTTGGCATAGCCGAAATAAGCAAATTTGGGTAGTAATTAAGTATTGCTTTCGTATAAAGACTATGTCTAAAGACAAAGCCTTCTTTCTAATATTGGCAGGTGATTCATTGTGTTTCCTGTTCAGTACAAAAATTAACTGCATGACCAAGTTGGTTAAAACAGATCCAAGACAGGATGGATCTAATCCTGTGGCTGAGACTCTTGCGAAGTGGAAAGCATATAACGACCATCTGGATTCGTGCAACGATGAAAGTAAACCAATTCGTAGAGTACCAGCCAAGGGATCAAAGAAGGGATGCATGAAGGGTAAAGGCGGGCCTGAGAACTCTCGTTGTAACTACAGAGGTGTTAGGCAGAGGACATGGGGCAAGTGGGTTGCAGAAATTCGGGCACCAAACAGGGGAAGTAGGCTCTGGCTGGGTACTTTCCCAACTGCAATTGAAGCTGCACTTGCTTATGATGAAGCTGCAAGGGCCATGTACGGTTCTGCTGCGCGCCTTAACTTTCCTAATATATCAATTTCCAATTTGTCAAAGGATCCTTCTTCTAGGGCAACTCTTTCAGCTGCTTCCTCGTTAGTAACCTCTGCAGGTTCAGAATCCTCAGGAAAATCAGACCACTCGGAGGATTGTGCTGCTCAGGGTAAGGTGAATTATCTTTCCCCTAATGTAGAGAATGAGGATACGACGACGAATCGAGATCAAACAAATGAGGATGGAGAAGATGAATGAAGAGTCGGTCTCTGACCTTCTCGGGCATTATGATGTACATTTTTAGTATACATACTTGGGTGATGGTGGAGGGTGGATTTTCATATTGTACGTGGGAGATGACAGGAATTTTGGTAACTGTAATTGGGAGACAAGCAATTTTTAAATTTTTAGTTTCAATTCCCATTTGGAGTATAGAGCTTCTTACCTTTCCCATGGGCGGTTTCTGACCGTTGATGAGATGCAAGTTTCACGTACATTGAAGATTATCACCAATGTAAGTTCCAGTAATTGGCTGAAGGTCGACCGAAAAAGGAAAAAAAAGGAAAGTAATTGGCTAATGCTTTCCCAACCAGAAGAGGAAAAAAAATTAGAAATTAAATAAAAGCCAAGGCTAATGCTTTCCCAACAAGAAAAGGGAAAAAATAAAAAATTAAAAAAAGGCTAATAATGGTTTTAAAAATAATTTTGTTAGTGGGTTGTCCTGAAGCCCATAGGAATCCTACTACCAAAAGCAAAAGGAGTTCCTGTTCTAGGGTGTAAATCTCTCAAGCGAAATCTATATAAACCGCAAACCAAACCCGACTTCAAGAGCGAAACCAAAACCCCCAACAAAACCTTGGAAATCCCAAACCGCCATTACAGCTCCAGAAAACTTCTTCACGCAGAAACATAGTGCTCGTGAAGATTTTCCCACACCGTAATATTTGGTTTACAATTCGATTTGGTTTCTTCCTCCGTTTCGCAGTAGTATGCAGACCAACGGCGAAATTGCGCCACCTGGCACCGTCGCATCGTCGGTTCTTCCACCGCGGATGGCGGAGCCCGCCCT